AACGCCTAGCCCGTTGGCTGTATTGGGACAGCCCCTCCTTAGGGCCGACAGTCTAAAACCCCCCTGCAGAAACTGCTAAGCCCGCAGCCAGCAAGCAAACACAACAATGAAAAAGCTGCGTTATCTGAGGCACTTTTTGAGTCTCAGCGAGGACATCCCGGGGGCCCCAGCAAAAATGCCGGGCGCACCTGTTCAGTTCTTGTCACCCCTTCACCAGACTGGAACAAAGCTGACTGCTGCAAGAGCCGCCAAATTGGGGATCAGGTTGCAAGGCAGGGATTGTCGGGCTTCCAACCGGTCTGATTCTTGCTCCAGCCCCCATCCCCCTCGACTCAGCTCAGACGAAGGCATTTGGGATGCCCCACTGGGTAAGGGGGACGCATGCACTAAGGGCTGCAGGCGTGTGGGGGGTGTTGGGAGGGTGGGTGTGGGTGTGGTGAGGTCTTCCTGGCTAGTCCTGCTCTAATGTTATAAATGAATGGGGGTAAGAGACAATGAATTTGTTCTTGGAAGAGCTGCTCCACCACCAGCTCTGCGATCATGGGCAAATCCCTTCATTCAACGGATCTCAGCTTCCCCATTTTTTTAAGAAATAAATTCAGACGAGCTGTTGCCCATTCTTTCAGTTTTATATTTGGCTAGAGCCGGGCAGGGCACGCCTGTGGGTCACACAAGGAGAAGGAAGATCTTCGATCTGGCAAAGGGGGGATGGTCACAGAGCTGATTCGGTTCTGTTTCCTAAAGAATCCGAAGTCAGACAAGGAGTTTTTGCTTGCGGTGTTTCTACCTACTTGGCATGCCGTTTGGCACACTGCCCCGTGGCCCACGGCCTTTCTCGGGACGAATCCATTTTCCAAGTTGCTGCCAGGTAGCTTTCTAAAGCACAAACACATGTGTCTGCTTCTTCATCTACTCCAAAGGCTCTCCACTGCCCATCGGCTAAAATCCTAGCACACGGTAACCAGGTCCCTCTTGGTCTCCCCTTTCCCAGCCTTGCTTCCAGCAGGTTCTCTCACAGCCCCTGCTCAAGGCCCGATAAACCTTTTGTCTCCCAATCACAGCGCACCTGGTGACTTCGTACACGTCATCCCTTGTGCCTGGTCTAGCTGCCCAGAGAGCTCATTCCCTAAAGAACCAGCTCAGGGGCGCCTGGGTGCCTCAGTCGGTTGAGGGTCTGACTCTTGATTTGGGCTCAGGTCATGATCTCAGGGTCCTGGGATCGAGCCCCATGTGGGGCTCTGCACTCAGCGTGGAGTCTGCTTCAGGATTCTCTTTCCCTCCGCCCCCCTCCCTCTGCTCATGTGCTCTCTCTCATAAATAAATAAATAAATCTAAAAAAAAACCCAACAAAACCCAAAACAACAGAACCAGCTCAAATGTAGTCTTGTGCCCCCAACCTCTGGGCCACTCCCTCAGCACTTTTTTCCTACCTCCTGGTGGCCATTACAGAGAACCTGCGCATCTCTCCTTAAAAGTGAGGAGCCAAGAACCATATTCCAGTCAACTTTGTGCCTGACACGCCTGCCCTCGGGGTGGGATTCACATGTAACTGGAAATACCCAAAGGTAACTGGATCACTATAGGTGTGACCCGGGGCCCAACCCGTAGCTTCCCACATGCAAACTGACCTGAAACACTTCAAAAAAAAAAAAATGACTTGAGAAGATCAAAAGTAAAATACTGTAGCTGAGGGCTTATTTAAATAACTGTTTTAAAAATACTCCAGAGGGGAAAACCTTATCTAGGCATTTCGCAAAGCTAGTCTGCAAAATAACAGGGCTGCATCCCAATATACCTCCAACCGTGTGTTCTTCGGGGTTACAAGAGAGAAATGCTAACAAGGAGTAAAATCAGCACCCTCCATCTTATTAATATGTAAAAAGGCTGAAGTCACATCTGTGCAAGGATCTATTTTTAGTGGACCCTACATACTAAAATCCTAGCCTTGATCTCTTAAACTATCAAGCCTACCATAAATGTTTGATGATGAACAAGCCCATAAAAAGAAAATGCATAAAATGAATAGAGGGAGTCAGTGCGTGCCCTGCCTTTTAATTACTGGTGACTTCTGCTATAACCCCACCCCAGGCTGGGTGCGGGCAGAGAAAACACATCAATAATTTGGGGGGTGGGTGGGCAGGGTGTGAGTACTGCAAACAAACGGGGTCTAACCACATTGTTATTTATGCTCTGGAAAGCAGACAGAGATGGGGAAAGAGTAGAATCCAACCCCAAAAAGGGTGGGGTTCAAAAGGGAAAAAAGTAAGAGATAAATAAAAGCATTCAGGACACAAATGATAATGTAGAACAGTCTTGTTTTATTACTTTTAAGTAATAAAGAGCCTTTTCCTTGCTTTTTTTTTTGTCTTCCCCCCCCCCTTTTTTTTCTTTTCTTTTTTTCTGTTTTACAACATACATTAAGTCATGAATCAGATGTTAGGGGATGTGGAGATGGAAGGAAAGTTGGTGACATCACAATATTTTTACAACTTTACAACAAATATAAATCTGACTTTGTTGCATCTACCAGTGTCTAGCAAGGGTGGAAAGCAAAGGCACACTCAGGTTTATGGACCCTCCCCCCACACACAGTGGGGAAAAAAAAAAAAAGAAAAGGGAAAAAAATACTTAAATGCAAACAACCAGCTCAATACATATGGGCATTTTAGGGAGAACACCACAAGTGATGAGTTGTTGGGAGGTGGGGATGTGGGACGGAAGTTTTGACAGAGGTCTCTGTAACACAGCTGAGGTACCCATGGGGACACGAGAGCGGGGGCTCCCTTGTCAATACTCTTGGGGGTCAAGCTTTGGGGACGAGGGAAAAAACAATGATCTCAGTTTCTAGAAAAGACTTTGCGGTTTCAGGGTATAGAGTTCATGGGGTGTGAACGTTGATTCTGCTAACAAAACAGAATAAAAACATAACAACACAAAACAACAGAAGCCCACCCCGAAAGACAGCAAACCTACGAGGGATGTTTGCAGGAACACAAAGCTAATGCGTGAGTCCTCGAGACACACCTAGGTCTCACTCTGATTACGGAGGTACCACTTTTTCATCAGCCAACTCAAAATTGTCCCCAGTAGTCTTTCTTTGAAAGTTTTTTTTTTTTTTTTAAGACAAGACCAAACCCAGAAGATCAAACTGGAAATAAAAAGAGACAGAGGCCACCAAATATACTGTTTGAAAACACAACAACCCCAAACAATGCTCACTGTTTACATTATGTTGACAGTTCTTTTGTTCATGATAGAGTAAACAATAGTCCCCTCTATGTGCTTGAGCTAATGAGAACCAAGGGGGGAAAACACACCCCCACCCCAACCCGTACAAACAAGAACAACAAATGGATGAAGAAATTTGTTAAAAAATTAAAAAATCTTCTGCCCCAGTCAATGTTTTTGCAGCATCCATTGTGGTTGGCTTTGTACTTGGAGTTACTCATCCATCACAGCAGGGACCAGCCTGCCTGCATCTACTTCCACGTCATTTCTTTGTGTGCAGGGCACGTGCATGCTGAGCCCATGGCTTGGAGACACCTCCCAGGTGCCTGGCAACCTCACACAGCGTGTTCTCCAGCCGGTGGATCCAGCGGAAAAGAGGGCTGGGACGTTAGTCCCTTCTCTGCTGGCCAATGAGGATATCACCATGTTGAAATGATCTGAGAATACCAGAGAAGCAGGGAGCTCTGGAGGGAGAATGGGTATTGCCACCCTCAACACCGGTGTCCATGCTTGGTAGCATGGCCAAAGGGCGGTCGGAGTTGGCACGACTAGAAGGAAGTGAATCAGAGGGCGTGCTGGCTGCCTAGCTCTCCCCGGGGGGGCAGGCTTATAACCACCACCACTGCATTCTTCTTCCATCTGCTAGATGCTAATCTTCCAGAGGGCTGGAGTGGGGGTGGGGGGAGGGAGGGTCAAATAAATAGCTGCATTTATTTCAAAAGGCCGGGGTGGGGGGGGAAGTTTATCATAACGCCAGTTTACAAGTGTACACAACTCAGGGTGTAAGGCACAAATTTACATGTGGAAAAGAGGCTATTCACAGATGTAATCCCACGAAAAACCCGTGTGAGCAAACCATTAATTTATGCAAGGTAGCAGCCAGCATATTAATTAGTTCACGCCTTTAGTGGATTTTGTTTGCTGTCTCACATGCAAGGTGAAATGAGATGGGTATCACAAGCTGGTGCCTTCACAGAAAGTAGGAACCACTGACAACCACATTGTTGGCAGCAAATGGGACGCAGGATGTGTCATTCTAAAAGTTCCTCTCCTGGTTGCTTTAGAAATTAGGATCTGGAAGGACTTTTAAACTAATTAATTTTTTGCATGTTATAGGGCCAGAGACCTGACCAGCAAATTAACTGGTTGATTTAAATAAATATTTCTCTCTCAACGTTTTCTTTTAGCTAGAGATCAGACAGTCCAAACACAAAGCTCAGAATTGCAGCTCCAACTTATTTACTCAGTGAATTTATTGTAAAAATAAACTCAATTATTCCAGTTAATGGATTTCACGTTAAATAGTTTAACTTTCAAGGGGCTTTCTGAAGAGCTGTTCATAGGTTGGTATGTGGAAGAGTCCTTTCCTTAAGGAAAAAAAGGGTGAACAATAAATAAAGCGTTACTTGCGTTAACGGTCACGTTATTTCATTAAAAGAGAGGAGCAGAAATCTATGACGTAGTTGCCCAACATGGCATTCATCTGCTAATAACAGAAAGCTGTAACACTGGTGGGCATTTCACAGTATCTGCGCATAGTAAACTTCTGCCATTGTTAAAGTTCTGAGTTAGAATTATCAATGAATTCTTTATTTTTTTGTCTTTTTAATTTTCATGATTTTTAAAAATGTATCTGTGTTTTGCAGGTGGAACGCCAGCCCTGTTAGCAGGCGCCCGGTGCAGTCACGGACAACATGTTGCAGTCATTGCTCACCTGCGGATGTGGGTGCGGGTGCGGGTGCGGGTGCGGGTGCGGGTGCGGGTGCGGGTGCGGGTGCGGGTGCGGGTGTGGGTGGGGGAGGTGAGCGTGCGCGCGTGCGCGGGCGCGCGCGCATGCGTGGGAAGGTGGGTGGGTGTGTGCTTTTGGCTCATGTTTGTGATGGTAGTTTAAGTCTCTCGTGAGTCCGACCTGCTGCACGCTGTGAGGGGAGAGTGAAGTCAGAGAATGGAGGTGAGTCCCGCGTCGCAAACCTTCACCCAAACACGTGGCCCAGTTTTCCAGAGTCCCCCTGCGCCCCCGAGGGGGGCACCCAGCGTCCTCCGCTCCGCCGCGGCCGTCTTGGTCTGGTGGGTACTCAGGCAGTGGAGGGCCTCGCCGAGCTGGGCGCGCGCCTGGCCTTTCCTGCTGGTTCGACACCTGACCCCTCCCCCTGGGATTATGTACACGCGTCATTGGGCTTCATGGATGTGGAAAGGGGGGCAAAGGAGGGTTTGGGGGGTACGTCCGGCTTTAGCGAGGGTGTGCGCTTCAGCCCCGACCTCGTCAGCGAGTTGTAGGCGTTGAGGCTGGGCTGCCGCGAAACAGTCACGGCCTGGCCCGAGGGCTGCGCGCCGTGCACCTGGATCGAGTCCACCCTCTGTGGGGCGGGGGGCGGGTTGTCTCCCCGGCCAAAGCTCTGGTTTCTGGACAGGTGGGAGGAATTGGAGCAGTTAGTATTGTTTCTTTTGAGAGTGGTGGCCTGGTGGCTTCTCGTGAGCGAGTTCGTGGGGTAGCTCCTCTTATAGTCAAGGCCGTAGGAGGAGGAGTGGTGCATTTCCAGCCGCTTGCTCAGGCCATTCTGAGACAGGGAGGCTCCCGGAGGGCCCAGGGAGGCCTCCCGCTGGGGGACTTTGGGGGGCAGGCTGTCCAGGTTCTCCACCAGATTCACCCCGTGGTTGGGACTCTTGCTGCTGAGATGCTCCTTGATGGTCTTATACTCCAGGGTGGCCGCCTGGTCCTCCAGCGCCATCTGGGCCACCTCGCTCATTTTGGGCTGGTCCACGTACTCGTGCTGGTAGCCTTGCTGCGTGATGGGCAGGACCACCACGCTGGGGATGTGGCTGGGGGAGGCCCGCAGGGGCAGGTCCGTGGGGATCACAGGGGAGCCCATGGGGGGCATGTCCTTGGTGCAGGCGTTGATGAGGTTCTGGTTCCTCTCCCACTCGCGGCTGCCGCGGCTGGGCTTCCGCTTCTGCTGCAGCGTCGGGGTGGACTCTGGGGTGGGCAGGGCCGCCAGGTCTAAGTGGTGCTGATCGGCCTTGATGAGCATCTTGGCCGTGTTGCCGGGCGTGGGGAGCTTGCCGTTGTGCATGAGTGGTGTGAGGATGGCCTCCGGCTTCGGGTCTTTGGACTGGGTGTCCCCAAAGAGACCGCTGAGCTTGGTGACGCTGCTCATGGAGCCCCGGCGCGAGTGGGCGAGCTCCTTCTCTTTGCGCTGCACGGCGGACACGTCTTTGCGCCTGTGGTCGCAGACGCAATAGACGATGATGCCAGAGAATACGGCCCCCATGACAAAAGCCAGAATGACCGCAATGGCCAGGAGGGTGACAGGGACGAGCTGGTCATGGCCTTTGAGGTAACTTTCCCGAATCACTCCTGCAATAGACATCGCACACGGTGTTAAGAAATGAAAGCACGCCGCGGGGCTTATTTTTGTTTGGCGTTCACCCCGTTAATTAGTAACAGTAATAAGTGACGATAGCACCTCTGCATAACTTGTCTCGGGGCGGCAGCTTGCCAAACATTAACTAATTAATCCTCTCCAAGCCGCCCCCGCCCCCCGTGAAATATGTAAATAGACTTCATTTGCTGCCTTCTTTGTGTTCTGAAAAAGTGCTTTTCCCCCCTCTCTCAAGTATACGCTCTTTCTGCTTGCTTCAGTCTGTGGAGTAGGACACTTTTTCATTTCCAAAATTTATCCCTCCCCGCCCCCCTCCTTCATCTTTTCTCAGTCTTCCCCTCAGAAAATTGGGATAACAGAGATACTTTGAGTCCGGAGGGGAAGAGGCAACAATTTTATGCCCGTTAAATGAACGAATGGCACAACGCTCCAGGGTTCCAGGGTCTTCTCTGATGACTTCTTTGTGGGCACCATGGCCTCTGTCTGGAGAAAAAGCTATGTGTGCATTTCAGGCAACTGTAGGAAGACCTCGTGTGTCATTTACGGTGAAAGAAAATAGCTAAAGCTTGCATTACAAATGTTTATGCTGATTTTGTATCATCCTTCCAAAAAAAAAAAAAAAAAAGCAATGCACACTCAATTTCAGGTAAATATGCTGAATATTTGAACGAAGCTCTTCCCTTACTTGAACTGAATGAGTATTTAGAAAAAAAGACCATCTGGGGCCCTGGAGTGGGTTTGAAAAGTGTCAGGTCTCATTATTAGGGCTAGAGTTTGCTGTCACGGTGAGATTCTTTAGCAGAGCTAATCTCTTCAATTTAATAAAAATTATGTGACTACACCCGTCAATAATCTTACACTACATTAACCGAGATGCTGTTTCTGAAGAAAGTTGCCTTCCCTGTTCCTGCCTAATCAGCCACCAAGCTGAGAGACTCTAATCAAATGCAAACACTGAGGCTTTCATTTTTTAATACCAAGTGAGAATACACATCACAATTGTCAGATCTTAAGTGCTTGATGCGGTAGCTAAAAAATAAAATCTCAAATACCTCAATTCCTGCCTCTGGAGGGTGAAAGAACATGAATACATTAGAGGCACTGCATGGGCTGAGGAAATGTAAACATTGTTCCTATTATGGAAATGATAGTAAGACAGAAAATGTACCTTCTCTGGTCTCAGGAGACACATTTTTCATTTGGTAAATCATCTCTTTCTGGAATATGCTTAATGTATTTTACTGGCAGATTTCACTGGCACAGAATTAGAATGAAATGAAATAAAAACTTGTACCCCTTCCTAAGCCCACAACATGCAGCCCTTCACCTTCTGCTGAAATGCTTCGTATGTCACAGTTGAGACACTGAAGAAATGCAGCTTTGTCATAGGGTCTTTCTGCTAAAATATTTTGACTAGGGAAGCAATGGTTTTAGAACTCAGAAACCTCTGCCTGTGGAAGAGAACATTCTCGTTCTCTTTACTGTCTAAACATTCCTCCTCCCCTTAACTTGTGACATCACAGTTGGTTGCTGTGGAAATGATTGTCCTGTGACAAAGGATTGTGACTTCAGGGGGAATAAACAGAAGCAGCAAATATCTCTTGAGAAACAAAGATTCTGTGATTAAAAAAGTGCCCTTGGTAATGAAGGGCACGGCAGGCGATTTCACCCCGGAGAAAGAGTATTAAAATGGCAAGACCCTGAATAATTTCCAAGTGTGACACTTCTCAAATATTTCCAGATTTAGCTTCCTGAACTTTTAAGGGATAGAAATGGAGAAGCAAAAAAACAGCAGGAAATTCGGCTGTAACTCACACCTTTTATAATGTGGAGCTCCCCAAACCATGAGGTGTCTTGCTGCATCCAAATATGTTTTAATACCTAGTCACCAAGGAACTGTGCAAATGAAAAGTTCTTCCTTAAATTTGCATTTCCTTGTTGTAATGCTAAAATAGCAACTGATTTTCTTTCAGTTTTGATTGTGTTTGGGGTTCTATTGAAGATCATTTTTAACCACCTACGTACAGTGGCACAAAAATGTACACCTGTGAATAAAAAGGGTTTAATTTCCCTCATTGACTTGGTGATCTCAGTGGAATCTAACCACAGGGGAGACCTCACCAAGGCGTGTGTGTGGGGGGCATACCAGGTAGATTTTTCATGGCAGTGGGTATTTCATGGATCCCCTCCTGGCAATCATATTCATGGGGGCTGTGTCTTCCCAATAAATGCATCCTTATAATAATAGGTAGTTATCTATAATTGACTTTGGTATTTTATAATTGAAATTGACCTCTCAGCTTAAGGGGAACAGGGAAAGAAGGCAGCTAAAGTAGTCCATTTGTTTCATTCATTGTTTAATTGGGAAAACTGCAAAAATTTCAAGTTTATTCATGACTTTTTTCCTTATAGCTATTCTTTCATGTCTGAAGGTCCTTGACTATTTTAATCTCATGGAAACCATTTGCTCTTTCACTGGGTAAAACTTTTTTAGGGGATGACATTTGAGTTCAGGTTTTTGGCTGTTAACAAATCAAATAGGGTATGACCTTTGAGAAAAATGGTGTCTCAAACAGCCCCCCCAATCTCCTTTTGTTATGTAAATAGTGCCCTTAAAAGCCTGCCTCTCTTCAGTTTTGAGATATCTACCCCAAGCAGGTGCCCTTCCCTCATCTGCTTGTGCAAATTCGGAAATCCCAGGTACACATTTAGAAACAGATCAGAGATTAAGTTGAAAGCACAAGTCAGGAAGATAAGAAGTTATAAGTCATTTTTGGAAAATCCCTTCCAAACTTAAAGCTTTCTGCTTATATCATGAAAAGGGCAAAGGGGCATTTATGGAAATGATTAAATCAGCTCTGTGACATTGGTCACTGTGAAGGATTGAACACAGTGGTCTTGTTGGGGGTGGGGGTGGGCGTGGGGGCTGGTACAAGCAGCACTAGAGATCTCCAGAGGCCTGGGGTCTTAGGCTCCCACTTACTGCTGGGTGACCTTTTGGCCCATCTCTGGGCCTCAGTTTATTTTCATTTGCGATGTGGGGTTAATACACTTAATGCCTTACTGGGTTCTTGCAAGAATCAAATGAAGTAACGAATAAGAAAGAACTTAAATGCTGTAGTTTGCTGGACAAGTCTATCGGTCAAAAGAAGCCACCAAGGAGATGTGGTGGGCTCGCAGCTCACCGAGGGCTTCAGAGTAACAGTCACAGCCTCTCCATTTGGTTCCATTTGCTATGGGTCTCCCGGGGGAGTGGGGCAGACCTGTTCTTCCCAGCTCCAACCTTGTGCTGTCCAAATGTTGCCAAAGGGATATGTTGAGGCAACTAAGGGAACATGTACCTCTGTCCCAGGATTGCCTATAGGTCCTGCACTTTGAAATAAGTAAAACAACAAAAGCAGGAAATGTTGAGCAAAATGCAGCGATTGTAGTTAGACTCCTAGTGGAGTAAAAATCCTGCATTCAGCTCCTCAAGAGCGGGGACCTTATTTTATATGCATTTATAACCCTCATCATCACCAGGGCTCCTTAATTGGGCACTTAATAAATGATTACCAGATAGCTGGTTTTGCAGTACATTGCAGAGACACTTTTAAGTGGGCCTCTAAACTTGGTGGGACATTTTTGCAGTGACCATAACCTTCTGAAGTTACAGAACCAAAATATATCTCCATCCATAGAACAGAATGTAATCATACTAACATCCATTAGACAAATTGATAAAGGTGCTCAGTATATGTTTAAAATAATAAGAGAAACTGTATCAAAAATGAAAAATTCATTCTGGGATAATTCCAAAAGAGATGATGAGGGTAGATGGGTTATTTGTAACAACTGGCTAGCCCCGTGGAATTGAATATTTTGAAATAAATACAACTCTGCCAAGGGAGCTGGTTGAACGTCATTGCTTCAGATGTTGCATGGAACCCTGGGGAAGTGGAGGGGCTTTTGGAGGGTGGCATACTCCCTCTCCAGGTATCCCCCTGGCGCCCCCCCC